ACCAGCTCCCGGGCGTAGCAGCGACACTGGCAGGGTCTGAAGTGCAGGGACCACCCTGAAGGTTGAGGGCAGTTTCCATGGTGGTACCAGAGCGAGAGCAGAGATGGGGGAGGTGGACACGCTGCACAGACCACGGCAGACCCTGCCCATCTTCAGCAGGGTTGCCAGCTTGCTTGTTGCCAGTGTCCTGGCTGGAAAGCAAACCAACCAAGAAAAACTAAAGGCGCTCCCTGTGTGCCCCACGTGGGGGCAGAACACGAGCCATCCGCGCAGACACGGGTCAAGGGAAACGTGACCCCAGAGCCAGGGTCCCAGCCAGCACGGGGACTTAAACCGACCCAGGGACTCTTCAGGCCGCTTTGAACATTTTCAAACAAACTCAAATTATGTGCTGTATTGGTGGTCCCTAGATGTGGGCATGAACATCAACACATCCGTAGTTCAACTAACCTCTGAGCCTACAAACAAGAGGAACTCTCAAGCACCAGAAGCAGGGGAGCCCCCCTCAGCGAGAGGCAGCCCCAGTGGCTTGATTCACGAGGACAGGATCCCGCGTGCCTGGGTGTTCGTGTGGGTTCCAGGCGTTGACGGAGTGAGCCCATTGCCCTGGCCTGTTGAGACTGTGAGAATCTTGACGGTGTGAAGCCCTTCACCCGCCAATGTGACACCCACTCTTCATGTATTCACTCCGATCTTCTATCAGCATATTGCGTGGGGTCGGGCTGGGGTCAGATCCTGCACCTCCCTTCGGAGCGTGGTCCCCAGCCACGGCCGCACGTGAGAAGCACCAGGGAGTTCCCAAGGGCCCTGCCACGCAGGCTGCACCCTCCGACCCACCGCACCGGAATCGCGCGGGCTGGGACCGGGCTGATTCCTCTGCACAGCCAGGGTCTGAACCGCCACTCCACGGGTCCGTGGGTATTCTCGCTCCAGCGTGACTTTTTTAGTGAGAGCTTCCTAAAGGAAGAACCATACTTTTTCCGACCTTCTCCATGAGGTTTTCATGAACCCTTTTGTTACAGGTCGAAATAGCCATCCCTACGCCTACACCCCCCCGCACATCCACCAGATAACCACGTCACAAAGGAAACTCTTCTCGTCCGCCCTGACTTTTCCCAGTGACCCACAGACACCCATGTCCAGAGACTCACAGCCCATCCTTTTCCCCCTCCATTTGGGGCCCGGTCCTGGACTGATGTCCATGTGAACATTCAGCAGGACGTTCTTTCCCGTTTGAAAAGGAATCCTCTCGTCTTCCGGCCCTGCTCCTGTTGCATCACAATTTCCCAGAGATTCTGACAATTGCTCAGCAACTTCACAGACAAACTCGCTCTTGGAAGATGTCGAGGTTTCGTGCGCCCTGAAGCCGGCAGAGAGAGAACGTTTCCGTTGCACCGTGAAGGCCGTGCGTTGGCTTTGACCAAGCTCAGAAGGATGGAGACGGTGAGGAAAATGAGACGCACGTGCCTTGACCCAAGCACGGTGTGGGTGGGCGAGGCTGGTGTGCAGCGGACACAGGCCCAGACGAGAGCGCCGGTCAGGGAACGATGTCACCCCCCAGAACTAAAGAGCACTGTTCAGCTGGGGGGAAGGAAGACTGGAGGACTCCTGTGTTTCGGGGTCCTCTGGTCACTGCTTTTTTCCCGTGGGATCCTTGAAGACAGGATTGCTGTATTTTTTTTTTTTTTATCACCCAAGGATATTTTTCCATTTTTTGTACAGATAGAGTGGGAGGGAGAGAGGAAGGGAGAGAGAAAGAAACATCGACGTGAAAGGGACACATCGAGTGGCTGCCACCCGCACGACCAACCAGGGCCGGGGACAAACTGCAACCGAAGTACGTGCCCTTAGCGGGAACCGAACCCGGGTCTCTCCGGACCGTAGGCCGACGCTCTAACCGCTGAGCCAAACTGGCCAGGGCCAGAATTGTTGTATTTCTCATCTCAGAACCCTAACAACACACCTTAGAACATAACAGTCCATAAATGCGTATTGAACAAGCAGGGGAACGTGTGCATTGGCTCGGTTTTGTGGGGGTTGTTTTTGTTGTTATTTGGTTTTTAGGTTGTTTCATTTTGTTTCCTGAAGCGACGGTCAGACCTATGGCTACAGTTGTTCTTAAAGAAAAGGGCGCCCCCGCCGCGCCTCCCGGAGTGAGCCACGCGTCCTGCCGTGAGGCCGGCGCTAGGACCGCGAGCTCGTCCCAAAGCCGTCACGAAGCCCCACGTCTGTCTGGACTCTGCTCCCTGCCCACGGAAATCCAGCTTGGACAGGGAGCCGCTCCTGCCAGGGCTGGGGACGCTGAATCTAGCGCCGAACGCAGGGGCGGACGGCCCTGATCCGGCCTCGCCCCAGTGCCCCGCCCCTTGTAAAAATAACCCATGACAGCCCTGGCCAATTTGGCTCAGCGGTTAGTGTCGGCCTGTGGACCAACGGGTCACGGGTTCGATTCCGGTCAAGGGCACGTACCTCGGTTTCGGTTCGTCCCCGGCCCTGGTCGGAGTCGTGCGGGAGGCGGCCAGTCGATGTGTCCCTCTCACATCGATGTCTCTCTCTTCCTCCCTCCCACTCTGTCTGAAGATAAATGGGAACATATCCTGGGGTGAGGATTTAGAAAATAAGAAAGTAACCTTGACCAAATGGGTCGGCCCAGGAGGCTTCCCCAGTTGGAAGGGAGCAGACCAGCTGGGGGTCAGGCGGGGCTGTGTGCGGACCAGCCCTTCGCGACGTACGTGAGCAGGGCCTCGGGGGAATCCCAGGGCCAGAGACGGCGCTTAGAAACAAAGTGTCCCAAGAGGTGGTGTCGCACCGAAGGGAACAGAGTGGACACAGAATGTGTCCGTGAAGGGACTGGACGGGGCTGACCGCGGGGGCAGTGAGCAGGGACGTGGCCCCCACGGCGCTTCCGCCCGGCGCTCCCGCACACCCCTGCCTCGTGCGTGGGAGAGGCCACACGCTCCTGCAAACGTGGTCTGCAGGCGCCTTCCACTCTTCCCGAAGCATCCGCGGTTTCAGGCTCACAGTGGGCGCTTGGAAAACCCCCCGCGGTTCCCACTGATGACACGGATTCTGTGTTCGCTGCTGCTGGTGGAGGCGGGGGGGGGGGGAACCTTAAAAGATGTGAAATGAGGGCTCCAGGAGCCGTCACGGATCACGCACGAGGGAAGGCCTTCAGCAAGCTGGTGAGGCTCCTTCACGGCGGGGGGGGCAGGGGGGTGCAGGGAAGCCCACAGACCTCAGGTAGAACCCCACCCCCAACATCGGAGTCCCCACCCTCGGCTGCCAAGAGTCCAGGTTACCCCGCGTCCTTCCCCAAAGGAAGAGGTAGCAGAGGACCACGAAGGAGAGGAAGAACCTGAGCAAGTTCAGTGTCACTGAGCACATCTCGAAGAGACGGATCTATCGGTCTGTCCAGCATGCACGTGGGGCTTGTTGTATGTGAATCAGGCAGGGTACTTGGACCCCACAGAGACGAGGAAGCAGAAGCTCGCGGTCAAGGTCATGGCCAAGTGGAGACGCAGACACGTAACCAGCAGGAAGCAGCCATGTTCCGGGCTCCACGGACAGGGCCGTCCAGACACCACGGAGGTGAAGGGAGGCTGAGCCGGAGAATGAGTGGCCGGGCCAGGTGACAAGGAGAAAGGAGCGTGCCAGGGCGCCATCGGGGACTGCAGGTCCCGGTGCTGAAGGGTGCCACGCTCAGAGGGGCGAGCCAGGAAGCCCTTGTGCTCAGAGTGACGCGTCTGGACGTTGACCATCTCAGGACTGAGAACCTCCAGCAAGTCACCTGAATCTCTGAGTCCCGGTTCAGTCTTCTGCCAATGGCACTGACAATACCCACCTACTCTAAGGCTGGCACTGATGGATGGTGGCCTCGGTTCTTCACACCTCCCTCGGAGTCCCTGGGCATGTGCCCCACGGTGCCCCTCCTTCCTCCCACTGGCCCCTTCCAACCTCCTAGTGGGAGAAAAGCAAGAACTGGAAAAAGGCTGTGAGAATTGTGAATTATCTATATCATGAGAAAAAGTGACCTTATTAATGTTTAGACTATAAAGTAAACCCTGCACTAAAAGTGTAGCAAGTAAGTTACAGGTAAAGGGTTCTTACCACTCATTTTTAGAACTGTGGCATTTCTCACCCTTAGCGAAGGATGTGTACCTTGGAGTTGGTTCTCAGTGGGGGGGAGAACCTCACAGACCACCACAGGCCCCAGGCACCTCCGTGGATCCCTGGCCTGCCCTCCGGAACGACCCACCCGGGACCCACGCAGGGCCCGGCGCCTGCAGCACCCAGCTGGGCCTCCCTCGCACACCCTCAGGGCGGACACAGCCCTCGGCACACTCGTCCCCTCGCCATGGTCACAGCAGCAAAGAAAGAAGGGAATATGCAAGAAGACACCCACAAAGCAGGAGAGAGAAGGCCACCCGTGTTGGGGTGTCTGCCCTTGTGCGGGGAGCTGTTTCGGAGTCACACAGATGTGTCTGTCTCTGAAGTTCACATCTACACAGGGGTGGGCAAAAGGGGGTGTACACTTGTGAGTACCCAGAAGTTTATTCTTGTATTGCTACTTATGAATTGTTGCGTTACCCATTTATAACATGCGTCTTCTTACCACCGTAACCTACCTTTGCCCACCCCTGTATAACCACAAGGGGGTGACTGAGCACTTTGGCGTCTTGACGGTCACATGACACTGGTCCTGTCAAGTAACCATTGTCACATCGGAGCCCACAAGGGTTATCGATACACCAGCCCTGAGCCCCAACTGGATGACAATTGAGTAATGACAACAGAAATAGCTCGCCCTCCATGAGACCATCTTTCCCCTTCCTGAAGAACTTTCCTGAAACCCACTCCCTGCGATGGGCAGATGGCCAGAGCCCATTAGGGGGGAGCTTCGGATCTCAGAGGGAATGGGGAAAGAGCCTCACGCTAGAGCTGGGCGCCCGGTGCCCGAGTTCCACGCTGCCTTGGCCACGGGCAACCCGCGCCGTCTAGAGCTTCTCCTGGACCAGGTCTCTCGGGACGCCAGCGTGGTGCTTGAGACCGACAAGGAGGAGCTGAGTGGCAGGTGCAGTCCCCGCGGCGTCTGGCCTGTCAGGTGGCCCTGCTTTCTTAACGCTGTTGCTGACGCTGAGGAACTGCTAACCCTCCGTGGACCATGTGGCTCCGGGGTAGCCTGCTCTCGTAGGGGCTGCATTCGACGTGCGCCAGCCAAGGTGCCTGCACGTGAAATTCGGTTGGCACGAGTTTTAAGACGCACATGTTAGGGGATGGAATGTGAGAGATCAACTCGGAAAGGCCAAGGTGTTGGTGAGAAGAGCCCACCGGATGCTGGAGGTGCCGCTTGTCTTTAAGGAAAGCGCTTTGGTTTGGGTGTTTACCCGCCAGTGCCCGCGTTGGGCAGCCGAGAGGCGGGGATGGCGGAGGGACACCTGGAGCCGCCCGCCTGCAGCTCCGTGCGAGGTCCTCTGTGAGTCCGTGAACACCGCGGTCACAGAGCGGGGCTGGGTCCCAGCCAGTGTCAACAGGGGGCACTCTAGCACATGCTCCTGGAGCAGGGGGAGCTGAGGTGGGGGAGGAGGGGTGAAGAGACCAGAGGGCCCTGTGTCGTGTGTCTAAGGGCACTCCTGCTGGTGAACACCACTGTATGCCGGGCACGCGGAGACCCCACAGCGGGGAGATGCCCCTCCCACCCACCAGCATGAACAGGCTTGCTGACCCCCAGGCTGCAGCAGGCTTTCTTGGCTGGCACCCTGCCCTGGGCACCCTTCGCCTGAGTGCCCAGCTTGCAACACATTTACCAACAGGGTCATGTGCCGGAATCCACAGCAGCTCTGCCGGACCAAGAGGATTTGAGACTCTGGTCAGTGGGCCGGCGGCCAGTGTCGTGTCCCCGACTCGTGAGCCCTGGCAAGGAATGAGGAAGGCGGGTCCCACTGCACTGGCAGGCTGTGTACACTCCGGAGCAGACGCGCTGCTCTGTCACAGCGGCTCCGAGCTCCGAGCGGGGCAGGGGCTGCGGGGGCAGGTGCGCTCCTGGCCGGCTGCACCACCTCCCAGCAGTCCTGGGGCTGCCCCGGGCTTCCTCTCCTTCACCTGGTCCAGACAGGGTGCACCTATCCCCCCAAGGGCTGGGTGGCCATTCAACCAGGAATGCCAATTGTTTGAATGTCCGATACATGTGTATTCTTTTAAGTCATGTGCCTCCAGCCCGGAATACTTGCAGACTCAAATGTTGCCATTTCGAATAGATATTAATGGTACCCATGGTCTGAATCCACCCCTCCTTCCTTTTCCCTCCTTCCTCTTCCCAGCCCTCGGAGCTGCTGTTTTCTGTGGCGCGCCATCGGACAGGAGGCTAGGGAGCGCCCACAGGGAAGGGACGTGAGCCGTGCGCAGCCCAGAGAGCGAGTGCGGACGCAGCCTCGGTGCAGGCCGGGAGGGCAGGGTGCGCAGCGCTCGGGCCGCTGCAGTCCTGCCCTTCAGCTCAGCCACCTGTCTTCCTGCGCAGCTGGCCCGGCAGCAGGACCGACCAAATGCTGTTTGAGAGCTGCGGCCCCACACCTCTGCCCTCTCTCGTGCGAGGGCTTCCTGGTGGCCAAGCCCAGGGAGGGTGGGGATACAGCAGGCAGGGTCCAAGCGGCCGACCCCTTGGTATAGCACCCCTGAGGCAATGCTGGCCCGTCCAGCCGTGTCCGCGGAGAGCACTGCGTGGAGGGGCTGACGTCCAGAAGGGCAGCCCCGTGGGGAGAAGCCACGTTCCTCCTGGTGGCAGACCTGGGCCGGGGCGGGAGTTACAGGGCACTGATTCAGGCTTTCTGACCCGGAGACTTAGCTCAGAATCCGGGTCTCTTAAAGGCTGGAAGCTCAGCGCCATCTCGTAGGACGTGGACAAGAGAGCTGACCCTATTCTAGGTCTGAGCGACAGGCCCACTACGGCCCCTTCCCATCAGTCCATGGGAGGACTTGGGAATCAGGGCAGAACAGAGCTGCTGGGGTGGGTGAGTGGAGGGGGAACTTGGCATGCCCTAGAAAATGGAGCCCCCATTCTCTTGCCCCCACCCCTGTAAGTAGGCTCCTGCTGCAGGAAAATGAGTAGCATCTAGAACCAGGAGCTGGCCCTGCAGGAATGTAGGCCAATGTGGTCATTAAGGACGATACCCACCCTCCAGCTCCAAATCAAACACGGTCTTCGCTGGGAAAGCAGCCCAAACCCATGCTGGCCCATGTCCCCTGGGGCTCTGGCCACCATCACCCAGCACCAGGACCACAGGCCCCCACACTGCCCCTCGGAGTAGGCAACAACCTCCAGGCTGGGCCTTGGGGACTCGGGCAGGCTGGAACTGTGCAGGTAGATAATTATGAGTGGTCTTTCAAAACTGCTCAGCATGGGTCCCAGGAAGGAGGTGGCCTGTGAAAGGGTCTCCTCCGCAGCTCATTACAGACACAGTATCGATTCTTCCATCGTTATCAGAAGGCATCCCTGCCATGTGAAATCCTGTCCCTTGAAGTGTATTCGCCAGGGACTGCTTTCCCCATTTCCACGAGCGCTCCTGGCCGCTAACAACCTTCCACGGGCCTTTTGAAAGCCCAAAGTTTTCAGAGAAGTAAAATGTATGATACCCGTTCCATTCATCCTGCAAGAAAAAGCAATCTACACACGCGCACACACAGGCGCGCGCGCGCACACACACAACCCTAAAGAGCGCAAAGAAACAAGCCAGGATTGTGCGGATGCAGCGACCGCATCAAAGCGCGCTTCTGAGACTCGCCGCTTCCAAGGGGGCTAAACTTTCCGAAGCCTTTTCTTGAGCAACGTGGGTGCTGTGGGTCAGTTTGTTTTGTCTGTTGCCTTCTCCTCTTAATGATAAAGGGGATCTTAGGACCGCGATGAGAGACAAAGCTGCGTTCCAGAGAAATCCACAGCCGACTTGCCTGCCTTCAGCTGTCCCTCATTCAGAGCCGGCAAAACTGAAATTGTCCCGCTACCCACCCTTCTTGGTCAGCTTTGAACTTCTCGAATGGCACCAAGTCCTGGGTCACCCCGCTGTGCCCCTGCTCCTTCTCCCCTCTTCCTACACCTCACATGTCTCTGCCCCCTCTGCGTTTGTCCTAGCCGCCCCCAACCCCCTCGCCCTCATCGGTGTGTCTACCTGGATTTCACCGGTTTCCCTGTCCCAGCCCCTCTGCGTCTTTGTCTATCTCCCTACACGTGTGGTCCCTGCTTTTAAGAGATGGTTTCACCCTATTTCGGACGCCCCACGCGGTGCTCCCCGCTCACCTTGCCTCTCCACCCCGCCCCAGGCCTCTGGACCCTGGAGTACAAGCGTGAGCTCACGTCGCCCCTGTGCATCGCCGCAGCCCGAGGCCACACGGCCAGCGTGCGCCACCTGCTCGGCCGCGGCGCCAACCCCGACGCCAGCCCCGGCGGCCGCGGGCCCCTGCACGAGGCCTGCCTGGGGGCCCACACGGCCTGCGCCCAGCTGCTGCTGCAGCACCGCGCCGACCCCGACCTGCTCAGCGCAGAGGGCCTGGCGCCCCTGCACCTCTGCCGCACGGCCGCCTCCCTCGGGTAAGTGACGGGGCCCAGCCAGGACCCCGCCTTGGCCACGCCCCTCCACCCACGCCCCGCCCCAGACCCGAGGGCCCTCGCCCCGCCCCAACCCTGGAGCGGGCAGCGCCGCGCCCTGACCCCTCCGCGCCCTGACCCCTCCGCGCCCTGACCCCTCCGCGCCCTGACCCACGCAGGCCCGGAACGCAGCCTGAGCCACCGCCACGGCCCTGACTGTCCATCAGAGCCCCCAGCGGCCACACCGCCCGCGCCACCCCGGCCCCACCCCCGCCCCAGACCCCAGCCGGCCCTGGACCCGCTCGCCCTTCCCCGTGGGTGTCATTAGCCTTGATTGCGGGGCGAGGGGGGAGGCGCCACACCGAGGTAATGAGCGGGGTGATCAGGCCGCAGACACCGCGCTGAGGAATGCTAAAAGGCCACTGGCGGGGTTGGAGGCTGAAAAATTAGAGTTTTTAATGATAATTTTATGCAGAATAATTGTCACAGCGTGACATAAATGGTTAGCTCCTCGGGCGGGGCTTCGCAGTCCCGCTAGGAAGCCGAGCTGGGCCCAGCATTTTTTAGGGGCGCAGCGGCCCCAGCCTCCGCCCGGCCAGGTGCTGGGCTGGGCAGGTTCTGCAGCTGGGCGTCCAGCCCGGCGCTTGTCCCTGCAGTGCCTGTCCCCGGGGTCCGGTGGGCAGGGAGGGGCCGTGGGCCGCGGTGCCATCGCCCGGGGTTTATGTGCGGCCTCTCCGCTGGCCGTGCGTCATCCTGACATTTCTTTTAGTCAAAATGTTCCAGTCCCTGCCCTCGGGGGTGTCATTTCTTGGCCTTCTCTGTCTGCCGTGAGGATTAAATGAAATCACCACGTGAAATGCGGGCGGGCAGGACTGCTGGGCTCTCGGTGACCAAGGCGGGCCCACCTGCTGGTGTCACCCCAGTTCAGAGTGGGGCCTCGGACAGGCGGGCACACCTCCCGGAGCCTTGACGGTGGCCGAAGGAAAGTGTTCTCCCGACATACGTTTTAGGGTCCGCCTTCCTGAGGTGTCACTGCACAGAGAGCTGCCGGTGCTTATCGCTACCATCTGACAAACCGGACAGACCCCTGTGCGCTCATGAAACCGTCCCTGTTGCCAAGAGTGAACACACCCGTCACCCTCAAACGTTCCCTTACCCCACTGTCATCTCCCCCGCCCCCGCCCCCATTGTCCCACTGATCTGCTTTTTGTCACTGGTTTAAATTGAATTCTGCGTACAGTGAATGTGCTCTTGTCTGGCGTCACTCAGTCACCAGTTATTTTGAGTCATCATAGTGTGGTAGGTGTGCTTGTGGTTGCTGAGTGCTCCTCCGTGAGGTGGGTGCTCCTCCGTGGGGTGGGTGCTCCGTGGGGTGGGTGCTCCTCCGTGGGGTGGGTGCTCCTCCGTGGGGTGGGTACTCCTCCGTGGGGTGGGTGCTCCTCCGTGGGGTGGGTACTCCTCCGTGGGGTGGGGGCTCCTCCGTGGGGTGGGGGCTCCGTGGGGTGGGGGCTCCTCCGTGGGGTGGGGGCTCCGTGGGGTGGGGACTCCGTGGGGTGCATGCTCGCCCATGAGGTGGGGACTCCGTGGGGTGGGGACACCATGGGGTGTTCCTCCATTCGTATGTTGAAAGGCACTGGACTGTTTCCGGCTTTGGGCTGCTATGAACATCTGGGAGCCAGGCTGGGTAGGGGTATGTGCTCCTTCCTCCTGCGCTTGGAATGGCTGGGCCATCTGACGTGAGGAAAGCTTCTTTGCAGAAACTTCCAAACTGGTTTCCAAGGTGGCTGTGCCATTGAGCAGGCCCACCAGCAGTGCGTGAGGTCTGGCTGCTTCACCCCCTCCCAGGACCACACCCTCCCCAGGACGTGGCAGGGCCACTCATTAACTGTAGACATTCCATAGGTGTGCGGTGGTGACTTGCATTTCCCTAATGACAAGTGATGCCGAGTGTCTTTGCACGTGCTTATTTGCCATATGTCTTCTTTGGTGACATGCCTGCTCACATCTTCTGCCCATTTTTATTTTTATTTTTTATGTTTTTTATCCTCACCTGAGAACAGTTTTTCAAATTTTTTTGTTGTTCAGATAGAGCAGGAGGGAGGGGGAGAGAGAGAGAGAGAGAGAGAGAGAGAGAACGACCTGAAAGGGACACATCAAGTGGCTGCCACCCGCACGACCCAACTTGGGCCGGGGACAAACTGCAACCAAGGTACGTGCCCTTAGTGGAAACCAAACCCCGGTCTCTCTGGACTGCAGGCCGATGCTCTAACCGCTGAGCCAAACTGGCCAGGGCTCTTTTGCCCATTTTAATAATCAGGTTGTTTATCTTGTTCTTAAATGTTGAGATTTCTCTATACTGTATACCCTGGATACAAGTCCCCTGTCGGACTGAGGCTTATAAGTAGGATCTGCCTGTCTCTGGATTATATTTTCTTCTTTTAAAAATGTCTTTTGAAGCCTAGCCAGTGTGGCTCAGGGGTTGAGCATCAACCCATGCACTGAGAGGTTGTCGGTTCGATTCCTGATCAGGGTGCATGCCCAGGTTGTGGGCCAAACCCCCAGTGGGGGGCATGCAGGAGGCGGCCAGTCGATGTTCTTTCTCATCAATGTTTCTCTCTCTCTCTCCCTCTCCCTTCCTCTCTCTAAAATCAATAAAGAAAAAAAAAAAGTCTTTTGAAGAACAGACAGACGCTCTTAATGTTGGTGGGATCCAGCTTGTCAACTTTTTTTCTTGTAGAGATTGTGTTAGGCTATCTTATCCAGAAAAACCTCTGCCTAATGCAGAGCCACAGAGATCTCCTCCTCTGTTTTCCTCCGTAAATTCAATCATTTTATAGTTTACATTTAAGTCCGTGAGCCATCTGGAGTTCATTTCCGAATATGGCGTGAGGTTCGGATTGAAGCTGTTTTCAGATGGGCACGCCCCGCTGTCCCAGCTCCGCTTGTCAGAAAGCCTCTCTCCCCCCCACCCCCACCCCGCTGCCTGCACCCTTGCTGAAGGTCAGCGGGCTGCGGACGTGCGGGTTCGTTTCCGGCCTCTCGTCCAGTACACACGACGGGACAACATCTGACTGAGCGGGAGAGCCCCAGGTTTGATTCAGACCGTTTCTCGCTTCCATACGCGGTCGAAAGAATTGCCAAAGGTGCCAATTCCTCACGGCCCTTGTCCCACACGCCACAAAAGACAACACCTAGACAAAAGGGACCAGTTGGTGACAATAAGAGTCACAGTGACCCCGTTGCTAAGCAGCCAAATCTCAACTTGAGCTGAGCGGTTTTATAGTCTGCAGCTGTGTTCCGAGGGGGCCAGGCAGGAAGTCTCAAGCCGCAGGGGAACCCAGGCATCTAGAAGACACCGTCTCCGGGAAGCCCCCAGGACACACGGGGAGCGAGCGGCCTCCGTCCAGGAGGAGCCCCGTGTTCTGCCGAGACACAGATTCGTGGTGGCTGAAGCCTTGGTGTGCGTGGCCCACGTGGGACATGCAGCTCACCGTGGCCTCCTGGCAGTGCCTTCCTCCCGTGTCCGGTTCAATTTCAGTGACATACTCTTGTCTGTCCTGACACCAGATACCACACTGTACTGAGCACGGTGGTTCTGTGAGGGGTCCTGACGTCAGGTCAGTTAGCGGAATTGTGCCAACGTTAAGTTCTTAGTTTAGTTCTTAGTTTCGACAAATGTACCATAATAGTGTAAGAAGTTGCTTTTAGGGGAAGCTGGGTGAAGGGTATTTGAGAACCCTTCCCTAAATCTAAAATAATTTAAAAATAAAGAGAGTTTTAAAAATCAAGTTGGCTTCAGGCCTTGAGCTCCAACCTCCCACTGAAATCGTATCGGGAAAGTGGCTTTTTACTAAGAAATGAGACTACAACGCCCACTCGGAGCATAGCTAGTGTGAGTCCTGAGGGCACCCCCATGCAGGCCAAGCTGACGTTTGGGCGTCTTAGGGGCGGAGGTGTACACAGACCCTAAGAGCTGCTCCGCTTGCATACTGCGCAATGGAGACGCATTTCCTCGCTTCTGCGGGGTTTTCGGAAAGCATACGGGCCCGGGACACTGTTTAATAAGACTTCAGAAATGTCTCCGTGTCAATTGGACTCACTTCAATCCTGCTTAACGGGGAAGGTCTAAGACGAGCGATGCGCACACACCAGCAATGCAGGCGGAGCGAGGCACCAGCCCACGCGGAATGCCTGCCACTTGGTGGTTACACGGGAAGCGTGCCAGGTCCCACGGACACGCCGGCCCGCACAGCCCACCGCCTGGAGGAACAAACCACTCACAGATGTCAGGAAGGGCTGGAGGTTCCGACCAGCGCTTTTCAGCCTAAAACGTCCCCCTGAAGTCAGACTCCAAGGAGGTCTGGCTTCACGTAGCGTAAACATTATCACTTTGACAAGAAAGCGCTGCTTCTGGAACCTCTTTATACGTGATAGATTTTAGGTCATCCTTAATTTTTTTTTTTTTTGTTACCTTTCAGTAGAGAGGAGGTCGTTGACCTACATACAGAGCCATTTCATTTTCTTACCCTTGATGACAATGGTCCCCACACCTAAGGACTCGGCGCTGCTGCCGCCGCTTGTAGCTTGCAATCCCCGTGGGCACAGGACTTTCAAACCTGTGAGTCTCTGAGTCCCTGGCATTTAAAAAAAAAAAACTGTCTGTGCTTCCTTCCAACCAGCAAGCTTCAGAATTCAGGATTCGACACACAAAAAGGGATATTGGAGCTTTAATCTGGGAGCCTTTTGAAGAGATTTTCCCCGAAAAGGAAAAAAAGTTCTGGTAAAGTTACTCTTCACGTTAGTAGCCTGCCTGCGGCCTCGCCCTATTTATTACCGCTTCCTGTCCTTGACCCTTGTTCCTGTTCTCGATGATTAGAATGAGAAACGAATTAGCCGAGCCCCGATTCTTCCTCTCCCCTGAAGCCGTCTTGATTTAGGCCGCGGCGAGGGGCTGGCCTCCGACGCGCACAGATGAGTACGAAGTGTACTTTTGGCCCAGCTGT